GAAGAATATATGCAGTGTGTTATTTGTTGAAACTGTACTTCCGATTTGATTTGAAACTGTCTCATTGCTATCTGTTTATCAATAAAATTTTGAAAAAAAAAAAGAAAGAGTGGAGACTGCAATAGGGGGATAAAATGGTGATGCTGTAATATGACTCTGAGAGACAAGGAATATTCATGAATAAAAGAGAAAGGATGCCCACACACAACAATCAGATTTCAACTAAAGGCGAGAAGTAGGCGGGATTAAAGAGCACTGTGGACACAGGAATGCTTGTTTACAATGACAAGACTTCCAGAAGCATAAGTAAAAGGAGTTTGATAATAGATTGGTGATCAGACTAGAAGGAAAGGTACACAAAGCAAAGGGATGAATGTGTGTGTTGAAAGTAAATATACAGGCTATAGTAGTTGCACTCCAAGGATGAAGAGCTGTACATGACCTGGATGGAATTAATAAGTCTCACTGATTCAAAGAAATTCTATCAGATTTACATCTTGCAGTCTCTTGAGGCACTGACAGGTTTCAGCAGCTTCCTTCATGTGCTACAGACCCAATGTCACAGTTAAAAAAGCATCTCTATCATGGGAAGTTTGACACTAAGTTTTCAAACACCAGACGCATACAGACAGTAAACTCATGTAATCCTCATAACAATTTTAGGCTACAGGTACTGTTATAATCTGCATTTTGCAGAAACAAGAACAGGTGAATTGTTCAGAGCCATATCGAGGAAGTGGTACAGTTACTGGCAAATGGTTATAGGCTTTGTTCGGAAATGTAAGCCTCCTGCATCTCAAGATAGTACAGAAACAGGGAGATCTTACACAGCAGAAAATGTCAGATTAAACATACGTCATCATAGAGGTAAAGTGGAGGGTATTTTCTTAACGTTTGTAGGATCACACTTTGGAGTTAGGTTGAATGTCTACTGATATTCATTGTCCCTATTCTCACAGAAACAAAAATGCAACTGACTCATGAAATAAGTACCCATGAACAGACGACTTCTGAAGCAGTGAAAAGACACCTGATCAAAACCAAGCAAAAACTACAGAAAAAATAGAAGAATATTACCTGAGCCAGCTCAGTCTACATATGACATTTATGTCCTCACAGATCCTGTGCTCCCAGGGAACAGAGGCTTCTGTGCTAACAGATGCTCTGTCTCTCTCATCCTCTAGAATATCTGAGTCATCGCTTTCTCTACTTGATAAGAATTTTTTTAAAGCAAAAACCAATAGCATGAAAGGATTATTTTTCTCTCCACACGCTCTTGGAAAAGACTGAAAACAAGGAAGGCCCACTTCTCTATTCTTCATTTGAACATAGTGAATATTTTCCACACAATTTTGAAGGTAGAAACATAATTGCACCTTGAAATTAGAGTTATTTACTTTGC